GAGTCGTGTCCAGCCCTGTGACCCCATGGAGTGTAGCCCGCCAGGCTCCTCTGTCCATGGGATTCTCCAGGCAAGAGCACTGGAGTGGGCTGCTGTGCCCTCCGCCAGGAGTTCTTCCCGAGCCAGGGGTGAACCCAGGTCTCCCCAAGTCTCTATCCCTTGTGTTGGCAGGCCGGATTCTTTCCCAGAAGTGCCCCCTGGGAAGCCCCCACAACAAGATAAGCCGCCGCGGTGAGAAGCCTGCACACCTCCACGAGGAAGAACTGCTCACCACAACTAGAGGAAGCCCGCAAAAGCAGTGAAGACCCGGTGCAGCCAAGAATACATAAACAAATAAAATTATTTTTTTAAAAAAGAAATGACTTGTGTGGTTTTTGAACCAACCTCAGCCTCACCCCTCGGTCATCTGTGCTGTATCATCTCCAAAAGTAGACCTCCACTTGCTTAAACACCCCAATGACAAACAGAAATGGAGGATGAAAGCAGATAATTTCTCCATGAAAACTGGGTTTATTTTCTGTGGTGACCCAGTGTCCTTACTGCAGTTACCCAAGCCAGTAAAACAGTCTTGACACTCCAGTATCGACTTGATCAAACCTAAAATAAATAGAGTAAATAAAAGGAGTAATAAGTGAATCTAGACGCAGGATGTGTGTAGATGTTTTAGCAGTAGGAGATGTGCTCTGCGTGTTGTTTATACCAGTCTTTCCCAAAGCATTTTCCATGATGTTTAGCAGGATGTGATAGCTGTTATACAATCAACTGGTTTAATGGTCAAATAAATTTGAAGAGTGCCATTCTAAACAGACTTAAAGCTTTTTTATTACAGGATTCTCAAAGTCTTTAAAATAGTATATCCTCTGCCTCTCAGAGAGGAATTCTAGTACACAGAGTTTTTCTAAGGCATTTTTTTTTTCTTTTTAGTGAAACACATTGTGAAAGATTCATTTGATGCACTTTGTCAAGGATGAGTTTTAAATGATAGATTTTCTGAAACCAAGTCTAGCTTCTTGGACGTACATGCACGTGTGGCGACAGGTTTTGCAGGAGAAGGCTCAGCTCTGCCTCCTAGTAGTGGCCAGCAGAGGTGATAGGATCGTCGTTTTTCAGGCTTAACATAATTAATTTTAATTTTATTGACTGCTAAGTCACTTCAGTCGTGTCCAACCCTTTGTGACCCTATGGACTGTGGCCCTCCAGGCTCCTCTGTCCGTGGGATTCTCCAGGCGAGAATCCTGGAGTGGGTTGCCATGCCCTCCTCCATGGGATCTTCCCTACCCAGGGATTGAACCCGCGTCTCTTGTGTCTTGCGCATTAGCAGGCGGGTTCTTTACTACTAGCGCCACCTGTGATTAAAATCACCATAGCCTGTGTTATACGTGATTAATTCAGCAAAGTCTGGTCCTTTGCTGCTGCCGCTGGAGGAACAGTCTTAAGCTAATTTTCCTTTTCTCGGGCAGTAACTGCTGCCAGAAATAGAGAAGAATGCACGTCTGCACTTTGCTTTCAAGCTGATACTGAATCAGTTGCATTTTCAGCAAAACCTTAGAGGTCAGTCTGGTTTGATGGAGAGACACTGGGAGTTTGGAATCTTTTCCAGAAAGAAGCTAACTTTTAAGTATCCAGACGATGAGTGGTTCCTTCAGCATTCTGAGCCAGTGATGCTCAGAGTCAGGGTAATTACATCGCTAACACTTCATAGATGCTTTGGCTCGCTTTAGAGAGGCCGTAGGAAAAATACCAGTGTAGGTGATTACGTTCAGCCTGTCCATTTCCTTTCCATCACTTTCAGGTGACCTTCTTTCCTTGCAGAGTGTCTCTGATACTGAGGTCTGACTGTCTTCTAATCTCATGCTGCGGCTTTCCCTGGTGTATCAAAGCAACAGTGTGTTATGTGAAGGCTGTTTGTGAATGTGTTTTCACCTACTTTAGACAACTGTTTAAGTTGTCTAATGCAGAGTATAACTGAAAATGAGGATGGAAAGTATACGAAAAATAAATAGTATGCAATGTTCACCATTATACCTGTTTTTAAATATCTTCACCTTTAAAATCTAGATTTCTGGTTAATGAAATTTCTTAATGGACACAGTTAATGTACTTCTCAGAACTGATTTATCTTTCTGTTTTATTTTAGGTGGAAAAACCAATCAACTGAATCTCCAGAACACTGCAACTAAAGCAATTATTCAAGGTCTTATGCCAGACCAGAATTACACGGTTCAGATTATTGCATACAATAAAGACAAAGAAAGCAAGCCAGCCCAAGGTCAATTCAGAAGTATGTATTTACAGATCATACAGTGCTGCATGGCACTCTGTTCCAGTGTTGAGTCTGAGTCTGTGGTGAATATTATACCGGGTTAATCCTGGATTGTTTAGATTTGACAAGATCTTAAGAGACATTCAGTCTAATCTTCCATGAGTTCCTCTTGTCTGTAATATTCTTCTGTCCCTTCCTTTACCCATTTCACTGCACTGCTACTTATCCTTTCAGTTTTAGTTAAAACAGTTTTTTATTGGAACATGGTTGCTTTACGATGCTGTGTAGTTTCTGCTCCGCGGCACGGTGCATCAGCTGTCTGCACACCCAGACCCCTCTTTCTTGCGGTTCCCTCTCATCAGGTCACCACAGCACACGAGCGGAGCTCCCTGAGCCACAGGGTCGGTGCTCACGAATTACCCGTTTTCAACGTGTGCACGCAATTGCCCAGTCGTGTCCGACTCTGCGACCCCATGGACTGTAGCCCGCCAGGCTCCTCTGTCCGTGGGATTCTCCAGGCCAGAATCCTGGAGTGGGTTGCCATTTCCTCCTCCCGGGGACCTTCCCAATCCAGGGATCGCACCTGCATCTCTTGCGTCTCCTGCACTGGCAGGTGGATTCTTTACCACCGTGCCACCTGGGAAGCCCGTTACACACATTAATCCTGGTCTCCCAGTTCCTCCCACCCTCCCTCCCAGCCTCCTTTCCCCGCTTGGTGTCCACGTGTTTGTTCTCTATGTCTCTTTCTGCTTCGCAAATAGGTTCTTTTGCACCATTTTTCTAGATTGACACATATGCATTAATACGCGGTACTTGTTTTTCCCTTTCTGACTTAAATTTCTTCACTCTGTATCCGTCTCTAAGTCCGTCCACTTCTTTGCAAATGGCACAGTTTCGCTCCTTTATGGCTGGGTAACATCCCATCGCATGTGTGTGCCACATCTTTGTCCACTCCTCTGCTGATGGACATTTAGGTTGCTTTCATGTCCTGGCTATTGTGAATCGTGCTCCAGTAAACAGTGAGCTGTACGTGTCTTTTGGAGTTATGGTTTTCAGTATGGAAGTGCCTTAAAAAATGAAAACTAGAAATACCATATGACTCAGCAATCCCACTCCTGGGCAGCTACCCAGAGAAAACCATGATTCCTTAAGTGTTGGTTTTTAAATCCTCTCCCTGGCACTGTCCCCTGAGCCTTATCTAGACACGTCATCTACCCAGTACATAATAGCTGCTCAATAAATGCTTTCAGCACTCTGAAAGAAGGTGCTGTCTCTGCTGCAGGAGTGGGCTGGAAAGAGAATGGATGGGTGATGTCTTCATATCTGAGTCAGTTCTCGGATACTGAGCTGGTCAAAGGACTTGCATCCGGAGACACTCTAAGCAGGGGACGCTCTGAGGCGGCCCTGTCCATGCTGGCCCTGCTCCCTTAGGAAGCTTCTCCTTATGTTGACTTTAACAGTTATCTGCAGAGGTCCTGATTCTTTTGCCTTTCAGCAGGTGTTCATTCATTCTCTAATTTTTTTTTTTTTGTCACTTAAGTGTATATTGCATGGCTACGAAGTGCCAGGCCCTATTCTAGGCAACACGGCACGTCACTGCCCCTGGGGACCTTATAGTCTAGGGACCAGAGATCGCAGCAGCCCCCTCTTCCTGGAGGCGTCCTGTCTGATTTGTGGGCAGAGTTTTGTGTATCGTGAATGTGAACAAGAGAGGTCGGTCCTGGTTAACCTTCTGTGTTACTTCATTGTTAAGACAGACTCCTTAAAAAAACCCCAACTCAATATTAAGTACAATTTTAAAGCTTAAAAAAATCAACAGAATTGTAAAACCAAGCCCTCAATACCCATCAGTTGCTTCAACAATTAACCATTCATGGTCAGTCTTGTCGATCTATACCCCTACACCCCCCTCTTGTATTATTTTGATGTAAACCCCAGACATCATTTCAAACAACAGAAGCTTATTTTTAAATTTATGTTTTAATTGGAGGGTAATTGCTTTATGGTGTCATGCTGGTTTCTGCCACGCGGCGACGTGAATCAGCCGTGAGTGCACATTCGTGCCCCCCTCCTGAGCCCCCCTCCCACCCCACCGCATCCTATCCCTCTGCATTGTCACAGAGCGCCAGGACGAGCTCCCCGGGTCAGACACAGCTTTCCACAGCTGTTTGCACGTGGTGATGTGTATGTCCCGATGCTGTTCTCTCAGTTTGCCCCACGCTCTCCTTCCGCTGCTATGTCCACAAGTGTGTGCTGCGTCTGCAGCCCACGCTTGCCGCTGCGAATAGGTTCATCAGTACCATTCTTCTAGATTCCATGCATGTGTTAATGTTCATTATTTTTCTCCTTCTGACTTACTTCACTTTGTACAACAGGTCCTAGGTTCATCTGCCTCACTAAAACTGACTCAAATGTGTTCCTTTTTATGACTGAGAAATATTCCATTATATATGTGTACCATAACTTCTTTATCCATTCATCTGCTGATAAACATCTAGGTTGCTTCCATGTCCTAGCTATTGTAAATCATGCTGCAATGAACACTGGGGTGCGTGTGTCTTTTTGAACCATGGTTTCCTTAGAATATATGCCCAGTAGTGGGATTGCCAGGTCATATAATAGTCTTATTCCTAGTTTTTAAAGAAAATTTCCATAGTGGCTGTATCAATTTACATTCCTACCAACAGTGCAAGACATCCCCTTTTCTCCACTTCCTCTCCAGCATTTATTGTTTGTAGATTTTTTAATGATGACCATTCTGACCAGTGTGAGGTGATACCTCATTGTAGTTTTGATTTGCATTTCTCTAATAATGAGAATGTTCAAATAACACTAGCTTTTTTAAAGAGTTAATCCACAAACTGGGGAGACCATGAGTTCTAGGACTCTGTTCAGCAGTGTTCTATGTGGATTTTTCTATCTCCCCTTCCTTTTCTTCTTTCTCTTCTGAGTAGCATTTTATGTTGTATTTTCTGATTTTTTTCTTAAAAAAAACCACTCTATTAACCTGCTACCTCTTGAAACTTCTGAACAAAGAGATTTGGTAAATCCACCTGTCAGCAGGACATACAGATGTTTTAAAATGTTACATTCTTTTGAGAGTCACATCATCTGAAAGCTCTGAGAAAGGGTTTCAAGTTATTTTCAATATAAATCAGCCTCTGTCTCATTTTATTGGCACTGTGCTTCAGTGTCTGGCCTCTGACATTCCAACATGAGTAAGGGAAATAACTTTTCTTAAAGTTTGTGTGAAGCAGGAAAAAGGACAAAGAGAAACGATTCATTTCACTTTAGTGTTAAGGTTTAGTACGATTGATTATTGCAAATATTCCACTCATTAGCAGCAGAAGAAGCATAAGCAGCCTTAAAGGCTTTGCTGACAGCTGTTTACTCAGAATGTTTAAAAGGAAATGCATTTGCTTTCAGCTTGCTTAGCTCTGCTGAAATAATCTTAGTGAAACCATCTAATTGGTTAGTTAGATAAATTATATGAATCATATATGTATATATTCAAGTTCTTCATAAGTCCGTCTTCTGATACCCAGGGAAACATAAGTAACAGTCTTTGGATTTTGAGGACAAAGAGGCATGTCTGAACTGTTAGGATTCTGAATCAGGTGTGTGTATTTGGGCCTTTAAGTAGTTAAAGCAGTTTAAGGACGTCTGCAAATGGGGAGGTGATTTGCGCCTATTGCTGTGTGCATTAACTCCCATTAGCACACAGTAGGGACATGGTGGTGGTGGTGATGATTAATACTGCTTTGCTCTTGACAGTCTGTTTTCTGATTGATTTTGCCTCCTCCACGAACAGGTCAGCAGCTTGGTGTGACCCGTGTGTGACTTCTTGTGTGTGACCTAATGACCCAGTTCAAAGTGACTTATTGCTCATTTTTCCCCCTTGTTCATCTGTAGAATGGATTTTGGCCTATTTTGGCAACGTTTTTTTGGCCACTATTTTTCTCTTTGGAACTAATTTTGCTAATCTCTGCCTGCAAAATCTTGCTCATATTTCAAAGTTTGGCCCAGATGTCATCTTCCTGGTAAAATTTCCCAGAGTCTCCACTTTTGCAATTATTCTTTCCCAGACCTATTTCTCCTCCCATCAGAGTTGCAGACTTATTTTCTTTTAGGGAATGTAAGCCATCTGAGGTCATGGCCTATGTGTGGGTGGGGTTGAAGATGTGGATTTGGAAATCATCCAGGGAGAGAGGAGATAAAAGTTGTAGGTGGGGTATGCAGAGATATGAGGCAAATGTTGTTTATGATTCTGTTTCAGAAATGGAAGCAGAAAAATGTTCCAAAGAATGAGAATGTAAAGGGGGGCTGAGAGGAGCATGAAAAAACCCAGGATAGGGCTTTTGTAAAAATTGAGAAAGAAAAGAATTTAAAGGAAGGGGTGTTCCAAAGTGGTTAACCCTTATAAGGAAATCAGAAGATGAGGTCTAAAAAATGGGTTTAGAAAATTAGAACATCAGCGGAAATAGAAGGATTAAGGCAGCTTGTATTTATTATGATTTTTAATCGTGGAATTTAATCTCAAGTGCCAGAAAGCCAAGAAAGGCTTCTAAGAGAAGGAATCATAAAACTAAAGAAACCCGACCTTGGCAGGTGGTAAGTCTCAAGTCTTTTTAGCAGTGGGATGGAAGCCGATAGAAAGAAGAGGAGGAATTGATGATAAAGGCAGGATTCATGGAGTAACCGTGGAGAAGGCAGGAGGGATGGTTCAGAGGAAACCATTGCTGACCCTGCAGAGCCCATTTTCCAATAAGTTTACTGATTCCCATGAAGTGAATGCAATAATTGAATGGAATATCTCGCCATGAGATTACTTCCTCCTTTCACAGGGCATTTTATTTGTCACATACTATTGCCATTTAGTGGTGACTCAGGGGGTTCCCTGGGGGCTCAGACAATAAAGAATCTGCCTGCAAATGTGGGAGACCTGGGTTCGATCCCCGGGTTGGGAAGATCCCTGGAGAAGGGAATGACTACCCACTCCAGTATTCTTGTCTGCAGAATTCCATGTACAGAGGAGCCTGGGCTGTAGTCCATAGGGTTGTAAAAAGTCAGACATGGCCAAGCAACTAATACAAAGAAACGACTTCAGGTGCCAAGCCGTAGCAGGAAAGCTCCGGGGAAGGAAAAGTGAAGTCGTGCAGTAAATTGGACTGAATGTATTCAAGGACCAAGGGTCATTCTGCGTCCTGAATTTTTCATAATGGAAGTAATGAACAAGTCCTGCTTTTTATTAGCAGGGAATTTTTTTATTTAAGTTTGAAAGAAAGTCTTTATGGAGTTCTCCATCTTTTATTGCAGACAGACCAACTTCAAATGAGGATATATGTGGTTAAGACCTTTCTAGAACAGGGGCCACTCACAGGCCTTCCAGAAATCTGAAGACATGGCTTAAATCCTAGGCCAACACTTTCTGATTTTATGAGATATGTTTTAGCTCCTTAGCCTGCGGGTCCTTCATTCCATCATGTCTGAAATGGGGCTATCTTGCGATTTTATGTTATAAAGGATTAAATTGGATACATCAGCCCATAGTGAATACTTGACTAAAGTAAATCTGTAAGTGACTTCTGCTCTTTCTCATGACAAGATTGACAAGAATAGCAGCTCCAATCTTCTAGAATGAGATTCTACCACGTAGCTAATTTCTACTTAAAGCTCTTAATACTTGCAAGGAGTTGAGTAAAAGCTCACTGATATTTTCCTTTAGATTCTAACCTAACGTGTGCTGTATTTTTACTTTTCTTCCAGTTAAAGATTTAGAAAAAAGAAAGGAGCCAAAACCCAGAGTGAAAGTTGTGGACAAAGGAAGCGAGAATAAGCCATCCGTCCCCGAGGAAGGTCAGATCTGTTTCTGTTTGCTTGCTGGGGAGGGCGGGCTGTCGGCGCAGGCCCGGTTCAGGCCCTGCCGCCTCGGAGGAGCGCGGATCTGCTGTGAACGGCCCCTCAGCCCCTCTCACCGTCTCCGCCCTCCCGGCCCGGAGTAACCGTCACGCTGGCCTCCTCTGTGCTGTCCCGTGTTGAATACACCACTAAGTCCTATGAATGCATTTTCTATTGGGATACTGACAGGATCTGTTCATTTCTTGCCACGTCTATTGCCAATATGCCGCTAAGCTCCACTTCCTTTCCCGGTGTGCATAGTATTTAGCAAGATCTCAATTTGTCCTCTGCCCAGAGGGCAGAGCAATCCTTGCAAAGCAAATCCAACTCCGTATTTGACCCCCAGCCCCGTCGTGCCCGCCTCTGCACCGCCTCCCCTGCCCACACACCTTGCAACCCTCCCCAGCTTCAGCGACCTCAGATGCTGGCCAGACCCTAACAGGGCCTTCAGGACGCCTCAGTCCNAGCAAATCCAACTCCGTATTTGACCCCCAGCCCCGTCGTGCCCGCCTCTGCACCGCCTCCCCTGCCCACACACCTTGCAACCCTCCCCAGCTTCAGCGACCTCAGATGCTGGCCAGACCCTAACAGGGCCTTCAGGACGCCTCAGTCCTGTGACCTCCTGCCTTCCCTCCGTCTTCATCTGACAGCTCACTGTCTAATTTTTAAACATTTCCAAACACTGCAAAAAATAAATACTCCTAAAATAGTTTCAGGATTAAAAGAAGTTTCAGGATTCAGTTCAGTTCAGTTCAGTTCAGTCGCTCAGTCGTGTCCGACTCTTTGCGACCCCCTGAATCGCAGCATGCCAGGCCTCCCTGTCCATCACCAACTCCCGGAGTTTACTCAAACTCATGTCCATTGAGTCAGGGATGCCATCCAGCCATCTCAGCCTCTGTCGTCCCCTTCTCCTCCTGCCCCCAATCTTTCCCAGCATCAGGGTCTTTTCAAATGAGTCAGCTCTTCGCATCAGGTGGCCAAAGTATTGGAGTTTCAGCTTCAGCATCAGTCCTTCCAATGAACACCCAGGACTGATCTCCTTCAAGATGGACTGGTTGGATCGCCTTGCAGTCCAAGGGACTCTCAAGAGTTTTCTCCAACACCACAGTTCAAAAGCATCAATTCTTTGGCGCTCAGCTTTCTTTATAGTCCAACTCTCACATCCATACATGACCACTGGAAAAACCATAGCCTTGTTTCAGGATTAAAGGATAGGTAAATTCTACATCTTGGATAGAGTCTACCAAACAGACAAAGTTTTTTCAATTATTTAGTCTTAAAACATACATTCTTTCCAACATTTGAAATTGTTTCAAATTTTTCTCCTAATAATTTTTATATTTATGTGTATTTTAAGAATAAGTTATTGAAAAATTTGTGTCTGTTTGGTGAACTCCATCAAAAATGTACAATTTGCCTATCCTTTAACCCTGCAACTTTATTTTAGAAGTAAATATGGGGCTTCCCTGGTGACTCAGATGGTAAGGAATCTGCCGGCGGTGCGGGAGACCCGGGTTCAATCCCTGGGTCGGAACATCCCCTGGAGGAGTGAATGGCCACCCCCTCCAGTGTTCTTGGCTGGAGAATCCCATGGACAGAGGAGCCTGGCGGGCTACAGTCCACGGGGTCGCAAAGGGTCGGACACGACCGAGGGACTGACACTTTCACTTTTTCATATCAGATATATAAAAGTATAAAAATAAGTAAGAAACAACGTTGTCAAGTTAAGAAAGTAAGTATAAACAGAGTTGGAGCTCCTTGTATATCCCTGTATATTCCTTTTCTCAGTGTTTGAATTCACTGTTTATTATTTCAATATGTGTCTTTTTCATTTCACTACATAAATATATGAATTCTGAAACCATATTTTAATTATGCATTTATATTTAAAATTTTTTATATACTTAATCAAAATATACTTTTGCAACTTGCTTTTTTTCTCCACAGAATATTAGATTTTTTTTTGTTATCCATGTTGACTTATATAGAGGTAATTTATTCATCTTTGTTATATAGAATTCCATTGTATGAATATAACCCAATATATTTGACTCTTATACTCTTGATGTTCCCAATATTTTGCTATTACAAAATTGATGTAAAAATTCTTATGTCACCTTTTTCACATGTGGTAGAATTTCTCTAGAATATACACCTAGGTTTTGAATTACTCAATTATGTGTGCATGTCTTCATCTTGTTCATCTTGTCTATGGTGTCTTTTTATTTTATGTTTTCATAGCTAATATTTGCTTCTTTCCTTATTATATTTTTCTTTTACTACTTCCTGAATTGGATGCTCATCTCATTAATTTTTTATATTTCTCCTTTTTATTGTGTGCATTTTAAGACTACAGATACCCAAGTACTGCTTCAGCTGTATCATTGTAGATTTTTATATTTAGTATTGTTTTTATGTAGCTCATGCTACATAATTTCTGATTTCTACTAGGCTTTCTATTTTGATTCACAGGTTGTTTATAAATATTTAATTTCTAAACATATGGAGTTATTTTAAAAAGATAATGTATTTGCTCTTGGTATCTAACAATCACGTTGTGGTAGGAATATTTTTAAAAAATTGGTTTTTATTCTTTCCCTGTATTCTTGAGAATACATTTTTGATGTATTCTTGAGTTTTTTTTTTTTTACTTTTCCCTATAACCTTGAGAAAAATTTTTAATCTCTGTGTCAGAGAAATTTGTCCATTTCTTTCTGTAAATTCTGGCAATTTCTTTATATTAGAGGCTAGATTCATGATGAGTTGTTTTACTTTCCTAGTGAATAATTGTTTTTTTTAAAACAATTTTCTTTATTCTTAGTAATTCAATATTTTATTATAGTGATACCAACTTATTTTGTTTAGTAATGCCATGATTTATTAATTCTGTATACTTTTAACTTTCACTCTGTGTCCCAAGGTTCAAGGTGAGTAAATCTTTTAAAGAGTATTTAGTTGGATTTTAAAAATAATCTCTTTCAATCTTTGTACTTTAATTGGTATCCATAGTCCACTTATATTTTGCCATTTATTTTATGCTATTTTGCTACATTTTCCCTTGTATGCCTTACTTAATTAGAATTGGCCTACTTTTAAAGAAAAATACATTTCCCCTTTACTGAACTAACTGATATTTAATCCTTTTATATTTTTGTATGATTATAATTAAATTTTTAGCATTCATATAGCCAAAATCTAAAACTAATGAAAATATTTACCATTCCCTAACCAGTCCAAGTTTTTATAGTACTTTAATTACCTACCTCCTATATTTTACATAATTATAACAAACACATTAATTTTAGCATTTTTTGCCTTATAAAGGTATTATAACAGTTATTATTTTAATAGTCTTTATTTGTCCAGCTCCCGTGTTTATAAATTTCTCTGCTTGTTATTCCATCTTGTATCTCAGGTTTTCTCTATGTGTTCAGTTTCCTTTAGAGAAGATCTGTGGTGGTAAACTTAATTTTATTCACACAAAAATGTCTTCGGCCTGCACTCAATTTTGCAGGCCTAGCTGGGTGCCAGTCTGAGAGTGGTTTCTGGTCATTTAGAAGATATCTCACTCTCTTTTGGCGCTTGCTCATGGCGAGTCTATTGACAGTCTAATATTCAGGTGATCTCTTTCTCTACAGATGCTTTTCAGACTTTCTGTTCTTTGTCTTTGGTGTTTGGCTGTTTTAGTACAGTAAGTCCAATTGTAGATTTATTTGTGCTTCCGTAATCTGGATTTATAACTTTCACTAATTCTGGAAATTTCTCAACATTTAATTCTTCAAATATTCTTTTTCTTAATTATCTATTTCTTTCTCTTTCCTTTCTTTGTCTCTCTGTATTCAAATTATACTTATCATAGATAGTCTGTTTTGATGATCTATGTCTCTTAACTTTCATATATTCTACCGCTCTGATTTTATCAATGTCATTTTGGGTAATTTCCTTTATCTTTCTATTAGAATACTAATTCTCTTTTTGTCTCTTTAAAATCTACTTTTTAGCCTGTCTTTTTTAATGAGTAAATTTTTTTTCTAGAAATTATATTCGATTCTTTAAAAATTTTGCTAGAAATTTATATGGTACTTTGTTCCATTTTAGTGTTTTTTTCAAAAAATTATTCTGAAGTTTTAGTCATGTTTATTTTATATTCTGAACCAAATAATTATGTCTAGAGTATTTTAGGGATAAGTTTTACTTTTCCTTTCTTTACAGGTTTCCATTCGGTGCTTTTTTTCTCATTTGATGTGTCACTTTAATTTGTGTGCTTATTTGTGGGAATTCTTCGCAGCGTGGTTTAGGAGTGTGCGCCTCCGGAGAGGTGCTGTTGGTTGCTACCAAGCTGGAACCCTTTTATGTTAATTTCTTTGGGGGATGCTCTGAGCTTGTCGATGGTTACAAGTTCATATGGCACTGTGTAAACAGTGTTTTTTCTTATTACCATTCTACCCACTTGTTTTAACATCCATTGATGATTCTTTACTGAGTCAGTGACTACTGTAATATTTCTGAAATGATGTTTTTTGTGGCTTCATTGTTTAGTCTGCATTTATTAGGTGGCATTCTACTGTAGGGGAGATATTTCCCTTCTTCCATATTTATTTATTTATATAATTTTTATGAATTTTTATTACATGTGATGAATAGTAGTCCATTACTATCATGAGTTTTGATGCTTAGATTATTCCAGAACGGCTCGGTGGGAGCTCTTTCAATCTCCTATGTCCTTTTTCTCTTTCGGCCACACTGCACAGGATGTAGGATCTTCATCCCCTGAGCAGGGACTGAACCCGTACCCCGGGTTCAGAGTCTTAGCCTCTGGACCTCCCGGGAAGTCCTTCCTCTGCCCTCTTAATATCACCCCTTATTCTCGAAGCTTTTCCTACTTTCTGGCACAAACCTTGCATTCCAGGCTCCTCTTGTAGTTTTTCTGCCCTGCTCTGAAATCAACAACTTCTTTA